GATTGCTTGTGTACCTCTGTCCTATTCATGTTTCAACCGCGAAGCAGTTGTGTTTGCATGGCTGTGTTTCGGTTTGAAGGGTGGGATATGGCGTGAATTTACTGGGCACAGAGGAATAACACCTGAGTCCTTAGGAATGGCAACGCATGGGGAGTATCATGGGCGATACAATATACTCTGTTATGTACACGGTACTGCTCATGTCTATAGGCGACGATTACCACTTTCCAGCAGGTGGGCCGTCAGCTTGATTGCCATTCTAAGTTGTATAAAAAAAAAAATAGGTGAGACAAGGAAAAAATCGATATGAAACCATAGATAAAATAATATTATTTTTTTCTGATAAAACACAAAGGTACGTATTGTAAATGCAGGTAAATACTTTATTTCCAAGTGGCTATTTCGTATGTTTAATAGATTATTAATCGATAATTTATTGAATGCAATGTACTTAATTATATTTCATTGCGACTAGCTGATGCCCGCGTCTTTGTCCGCGTGGTATTTGTTATTCTTGTTTATGTATATATCGATGTACGTACCTACCTATTTTTTTTTTGATGGGTGAAAATGGTATGGTAACCCCGCCTGCGCTAACGGGATACGCTGGCGGAGCACCAGTGAAGGGTGATAGATGAGAATGAAAATAGGCCAGTTAGCCCATCATGATGAATTCATAAGGAATTAATCATGATAGTATCCAGGTGGAACCGCGTAGAGGTCGACCTGGTTGGGTATATTGCTAGCAATGGGATTCTTAGTCTCCATTACTAACAATCCCTTTCCCCCCAAGTATCTACCTATTTATTATATCTGGGAATACTGGACCGAAATAAATAAATGACGTGTCGTTCTTACTCTTTGTTGTAGGTCAAAATGACTTTACTTAAGTAGGTTGTGTACTAAGCTGTATGAGTTACTATAGTTTTATATCTATCCCACGGGAACTCTTTAATTTTCCGTGATTAAAAGTCGAAAATGTTGACCGAGGATGTAAGGTACCACCATGCAAAATTTCATTTAAATCGGTCCAACAGTTTCGGAGAAAAACCCTTACACACAGACGAACAGACAGGAAACAAAAAAGGGCGGGAGCACCTAGATACCAGCTTGAACCCTTCGACTCAGTGCAACGATGAGCTATGAGAATTGTCAATGATACCAGGCTTGCAAGCGGTATCGAACTCTTAAATCTTAGGAGAGATTTTGCCTCACTGTGCATGTTCTACAGCTTGTACAATGGATTGTGCTCAGAGGAATAATTCAATATGATGCCTACGGCCACTTTCTATCATCGTACGGCTCGCCATCGACAGGGAGTTCACCCTCATACCTTACAGCCTAAATGGTCGCGTACAACGCGGTTTCAGAGATGTTTCCTCCCACAAACACTCAGGTTATGGAATGAGCTCTCTGCCGAGGTTTTCCCAAAAGACTACAGCATGGGGTTCTTCAAAAGGGAGGTAAAGAGGTTTCTTCAGGGTCGGCAACGCGCGCGTAATACCTCTTGTATTGCAGGCGTTCATAGGCTACGGTAACCGCTTAACATCAGGTGGGCCGTATGTTTGTTTGTCACCTCAGCGGTATAAAAAAAAATTAACGTAATAGTTTTTATATTGTTATTTTTAAGAGCCATCTATTGTTAAGTAGAGAATTGACTCTACTTTACACTAGATGGCGTAAAAAATAAAAATGTAAAAAAATATCATCATAGCAGGCGGGGTTACCATTCCATTATCATCCAATAAAAGACAGTAGAGTATTATATTATCTGTGACAGAAGTCCTAGAGTATTTATCTATATCAAGTACTTAATGAAATAATGTGTAACAAGAATGTGTCGCAACGACTTGAAAACACTTGAAAATGTAGGCTAGCACCATAATAAAAGTATTGTAATACACAAGTAGGTATCTAATAGGTTTTTGTTTATGGGTGAAAATGGAATAGTAACCCCGCCTGCGCTAACGGGATACGCTGGCGGAGCACCAGTGAAGGGTGATAGGTGAAAATGAAAACAGGCCAGTTAGCCCATCATGATGAATTTCATTCAGGAATTAACCATGATAGTTTTCAGGGGGAACCGCGAGGACATCGACATGTTTGGGTATATTGCTAGCAATGGGATTCTCAGTCTCCATTACTAGCAATCCCTTTCCCTCCTGTCTAATAGGTTTACTATAGTTATCTGCACTGGAATATTACTTTGTTGTAATAGATAAGGAACAATACTTAACAATTGAAAGTAGGCACTTGATTTCTAAACTAATTATTGATTTATTGATTAGATCAACTAACAACTTTTTCAATAATAACTATAAATTATAACAAGAGACTGATAGCCAATAAATAATAGCCATTAAGCCAATAGCCAATAAGTAACCATACAGCTTTTTTTAATGGGTGAAAATGGAATGGTAACCTCGACTGCGCTATCGGGATACGCTGGCGGGACCCCAGTGAGGGATGTCAGGTGAAGATGAAGCAGGTCAGTTGGCCTATCATGATTAATTCATCAAAATGATTGAAATGATGTATTGCTGGCAATGGGTCAGTTAGACCCTATTGCTAACAATCCCTTTCCCCCAATCCCATAGCTAGCCATATGTCCTGTCAGGTCGACCTCTACGTGGTCCCCCTTGGAAACGGGCTGAATTCCAGATATATTCACGATAGGCTAACTGACCAGCCTTTCCATTCTCAAGTATCATCCTTTACTGGTGCCCCGCCAGCGTATACCGTTAGCGCAGGCGGGGTAAAAAATTAGACTACCCATATAGTAACAAAGAGTAACAAGTAAGTACAATCCTTTATATCAAATTGCATAGCGGTGGGTCCAGCCGAAATAACAAACAGACTCACTTTCATATTTATAATATTAATAAAATTTTAAAAAGTTGCTAGAAACAGGTAGTTTCTGATAAATCCCGATTTCCCGCCAATTTGCCGTCGTTCAGGGTAGCAGGAACGCTATTTTAAAATCTGACAGTTCCTGTTGACTGCACTCGAGATATGTCAATGTTAAGAAAGGCAGGTAAGTGGGTAAAGCGCGCCAAACTCAACCTTCTGATTCGAAAGTCGATGGCCTTGCAGCATTGCAACGGTAAAGTTACTTGTACACTGGCGTAGGTATACGGAAGGAATTACCAAACTAGAAATATGTATATACTAACTATACCACGGGGGAAGGAAAGGGATTGTTAGCGATGGGGTTTAACAGCCCCAATGCTAGCAATGTTACTAATCAGGTCGACCTCCACGTGGTTCCTCCTGGAAACCATCGTGGTTACTTCTCGTGGAATTCTTCACCATGGGCTAACCGACCTACCTTTCCATCCTCACCTGTCATCCCTCACTGGTGCCCTGCCAGTGTATATAGCATAGGCAAGGGTACCATTCCATTATCACCCAAAAAAAAATACAATGACTTCGATATGGAGGTCGACCTGACAGGATATATATAAAAAAAAATTTATGGGTGAAAATGGTATGATAACCCCGCCTGCGCTAACGGTATACGCTGGCGGAACACCAGTGAATGATGACAGATGAGAATGAAAACAGGCCAGTTAGCTCATCATGATGAATTTGTCAGGAATTAACCATGGTAGTTTCCAGAGGTCGACCTGGTTGGGTATATTGCTAGCAATGGGATTCTCAGTCTCCATTACTAACAATCCCTTTCCCCCCTGACAGGGTATATTGATAGCAATGGATACTAATTTTGTGTAAAGTAGTTGAAAATGGTCAAGTGTGCTTTAGAATCGCGTATATAAAATACAATAAATTATTCAATGAATAAATATTTCATAATGTGTTCTTGCTCAAAAAAGAACATGCTTAAATTTTATTTTAACGCCATCTATTGAGAAATAGATTGCAGTTGTTTGTTTTATTGACAATCTTGTTCGTATACATATTTTTAAGTTTGTGTATTAACTATAGACATGTATAACGTACTACGTACTGTAAAAACCATATTAAGATAATAAAATACCTATTTCTTTTTATGTACGTATTTTTTTCAGTTCATTTAAATTCAATTTATTGCATATTCATGTTGTAACAATATAGATCTTAAGCATTAGTGGTACAGTATCGACATGAACTCTGGAAGGACACAGCGATCATATTAATGTTTGTTATATAAAATACATAGCATTAATTCTATAAGATTGGGGGGAAAGGGATTGTTTGCAATAAAGTTTGACAGCCCCATTGCTAACAATATGTCTCCCCACGTGGTTCCCCCTGGAAACCATCCTAAACAATTCTTGTTGAATTCGTCATGATGGGCTAACTGACCTGCATCATACTCACCTATCATTCTTCACTGGTGCTCCGTCGGTGTATGGTATACCGATAGCGCGGGTGAGGTTACCATTTCATTATCATCCATTAAAAAAAATTCTATAAGATTATATTATGTGTCACGGAGATAGGTAAAAGAGTACGATTCATATATTATACTTAAAAACCAAACTTTATTTATTTTTATAATTTTAAAATGTTTTTAAATTCTAGAAAAGTGGGCTTCATATAATAAATATAAAAATCTATCTTCTCAAAATAACTTGATTTATAATAAAAACTACAATAAGCGCCACCTATTGCAAATTTTGGACAATAATAAATTTATAATTTTAATTAGTTGCAATAATTATAAAAAATATATATATTTAAATTTATTAAATTCTTGGAATCGTATTTCTTCTTTTAAGTTTTTATTATAAAATGTATTATCTAGAAAAATTGGAATATTATTAGATTTTCTTCTAAAAATAACTCCAAATACGGCGTTCAATAAACTTCGAAACACATGCGCCATCTCTGTAGTTATTTTAAGTACAAATTTAAGAAGAACCGTTCAGAGCTTTGCGTTATATTTCTTCATATTACTTTTGTATTTAGTCGTATTATAAAATGTGTTTAATTCTATCTCTTTTTATCTTTAGTTAGAAATACTTCGCTATCTCTGTCTAATAAGTCCGTCAAAAAAAGATTTTAATGGCAGAGATTTGACATTTATCTCGTATTCAAAATGTTAAAATTAAAACAAATAAGTGGTTTTTTCGATTTTTATGAATAAAACATTATTGTTTTTCTAAGAAATAATAAAAAAAAGGTGTATAGTGGTTAATGTGGACTGGTTTTTCGACGCTAGTCATAAAAACGAAAGGGTTTGAAATAATTATTTTTCGAAGAGTAAATCCAAAATATTTCGTTTAAAGTGCTTTTCTTAGAACAAAGTATGATCTAATAAGTTAGAATTATCCTTATGTCGTTTATTAACCAGTAAAAATGTGTTTTTTAAGTGATCTGTTAAATTATTTTCGTTCTAAAGTTCTTTAAGTATTTATTACGAAAATGATCTCGATACAATTAGATGTTTCGTTTTATTCGAATCTACTTTTAATACCAATAAACCTATGCATTAATTGAGAGACTAGAATATTGATTTGGGCATTGTGCAAAGCTATCATGATTTCGTGTGTTTAAAAAAAATTATGAAGTGTTTTTGTGATTGTTGAACATTTTGGCGGTATTTTCGTTTGCTTTTATGGAGTGTCTAAACTGTTTTTAAATTAAAATGGTTACGATGAACTCTTCGGAGAAGGCGGCACAGAAAGCCTGTCAGCAGGGTCCATCAAGGCAAGTCATACAATACAATTTTTTTTTTATATTATTTAATCCCTCAAGTGGTCTGAGCTCATTGATACAACTCACAAATCCATGGCGGAGAAAGGAATTGTTAGTAACGGGGGCCAATAGCCCCATTGCTAGCTATATACTTTGTCAGGTCTACCTCCATGCGGTTCCCCCGGGAAACCATCATGATTGATTCTTGTGGAATTTCTCATGATGGGCTAACTCACTTGCCTTCATCTTCATCTAACATCTATTACTGGTGCTTTGCCAGCATATACTGGTCGTGCAGGTGGGGTTTTAAATTGGGAAGTAAGGAATTGCCAGCAATCCAATGTGACCTCTCAATCCCATGGTTAAAAAACCACATTGGTAGCAATGAATTCCATCAGGTTGACCTTGATGTGGTCTTTGGAGACCATAGTGGTTAATTTCTGGTTTCTACTGAATTTATTATGATGGGTTAACTAACCTGCTCTCATCTTCACCTGTTGTTCCTTACTAGTGCCCTGCCAGTGTATACTGATAGCGCAGGTGGGGTTACCATTCCATTTTCACCCATTTAAAAGCAATAGCTACTTCTTTTATGTCTGTAACTTATCACAGGTCTTCCCTGTCTCTTTTTGCCTATTGTAGGGTACCAATTGGTTGCAGATATTGTCTATTTCTGTATTTTTTTTCCTATGTAATCTGTCATGCCCATAGCCATTTTTTTTAATGTACAGATGACATTCTTGAATTTCTTCCAACCTGGTATTGTGTATAAATTAATATTTATTTATTTTTTATTAATAACTCTTATTAAATTAAAATAATAAATCTTATTATAATTGTACAAATGCCAATTAGAAAATTCAATAAAAATACAGTAGCACAAAGTACATATAAAGTTATAGTCATAAATAGGTAAAAAAGGCAGTCTTATTGTTGGAGCAATCTCTTACAGACAACCTTTTGGTTAATAGAGAACAGATAGAAGTGGATGAATTAATATATGTATAACAATTTATTAATTTATTTTTTGATATTCATAAATGTTATTTTCATGTTACTGCTCATGTGTATAGGTGACGGTTACCACTTTCCATCAGGTGGGCTGTCAGCTTGTCTGCCATTCTAAGTTTTATAAAAAAAAAACCTTTATTACAGGAAAATGTGGTAATAATAAATATCTAAAACCATTTTCAGAGACAATTCAAAATATGTCAAAGAAGACAAAGAGAAAGAGAAGGATAGAGACAAAAAGGAGAATGCGACAAGTCTCCCGCCAAGCGTGCAAGCTCTCATGTCCACTATACCCTCGCCGGAGGAGTCTCCCAACTACCTGATCTATAAAAAGGTACTTATCATCACTACATAGTATTTTATAATCTGTAGTACTAATTACAAATTTTTAGTGTTACATATTTTCTTGTGTGCCCAATTGTGTTGTAATTTAATATTAAAAAAAGTGGAGTACTTAACTAGGATCTTTTATTTTATCAACTGAACTGTATTACAAAAAGTGTGAGACATGAGATGTGATTAAACAAACGTTAAAAATGATAATTATAAAGTTAAAAAAAAAGTTCCTAAAGGAACTTTTTTTTAAACTTTATAATTTACGACACTTAGGAGTGTTCATAATGAAATGTGCCAATGTTGCTATTATATCTCAGTTGTTTTTCACAATACTGGATCTGGTATATAACCAGATTCCATTCCTGGTCACTCAAATATTCATGGAAATGAAATAACTTTTACCAGAGGGTGGCTTTGTACAAAAGTCGATTGCTTGGCCACCTCTGTCCCATTCGTGTTTCTACCGTGAAGCAGTTGTGTTTGCATGGCTGTGTTTCGGTTTGTAGGGTAGGATATGGCAGTTAATTTACAGGGTACAGAGGGATAATACCTGAGTCTGTAGGAATAGCAATGCATTGAGGGTAGGGGATATCATGGGCGAAACAGTATACTCTGTTATGTCTGCAGTACTGCTCATGTCTATATGTGACAGTTACCACTTTCCATCAGGTGGGCCGTCAGCTTGCCCTTCTAAGTTGCATAAAAAAAGTGACTTTAGTCCCGGCAACACCAGTTATTTTGGTTAAAAAATTAAATTACAAAACTGAGATTTGATAAAAATTCTATGGGATCCATCTATGTCCTGTCGGACAAAAAAAAAAGTTTTTTTTTTAAATCAGTTCAGAACAGAATTGTAAAGTAACAAACATAAAAAAATACATGTGAATTAAGAACTTCTTTTTTTTTTTATTTGATTGAAAGTTAGATGGCAATATTGCTAATGTGGGGGAGGAAAGGGATTAATTATATATATATATATATATATATATATATATATATATATATATATATATATATATATATATATATATATATATATATCGTCATAGTCGTAGAATACTGACGGATCTTTATCTACATTAATATTATAAAGAGGAAAACTTTGTTTGATTGTAATGAATAGGCTCAAAAACTACTGGACCGTTTTAAAAAATTCTTTCACCATTCGAAAGCTACATTATCCACGAGTAACATAGGCTAAATTTTATTTTGAAAAAAATAAGGGTTCCGTAAAATATTTAAGTTTTTCGGACACAAGGTGTAAAAAATCAACCAGAAAAGTTACTTATTTTGCGTACGCTGCCTAAACTACAAAAGATAGAACCATAAAATGTTATAATTAATTGTAGATCTTATAAATATCTACAAAAAAGTCCGCGACACACTATACCTATCTATGTCGAGTGAGGCACAACAACCACATTTTTAATAAAAAATCTTGAATTTTTTTGGACTACATTTAAACACATTTATTTTACTCACGCTATTAATCCTTATCAAAATAAATGATTTCATCACTAAGTACAGTTTATGCAGATAATATTTGGGGTCTTTGAATGATTAAAATTGGACGTTTTGTTTTGAAGTTATGATCAAAATTAAAATATTACTATTTCCAAAAATTGCATATTGCGATAACTAAGATCCACGCGGGCGAAGCTGGGGGCGGAAGCTAGTAATATTTGTTTGTTATTCAGATCCGTCAGTATTCTATGACTATGACGATATATATATATATATATATATATATATATATATATATATATATATATATATATATATATATATATATATATATATAGACGGCGCTGGTAGAAGAGGAGGGCAGCAACAATAATAAGATATTAATATAGAGGCTTACCAGTTTAATTCCTTGAGACGTACACAATACACAATGACAATTGTTTATAACTACTCCTCTCCATCCAAAGGTTGCCTGCAAGAGATCGCTTTCAGCGATAAGGCCGCCCATTGTTGTCTCACTGTGATCATTTCTTGTAATTGTTTGTATCTATAATAAGTTTACTATTGTAATCTTTTGGAGGAAACAATAGAGAGTATCTATCTATCTATAATATGTCAATCAAGTAGAAAAACAAAATAGGTATCAAAAGACGTATTCAAAATATAAAAATATAAATCTAAAAAAGGTAAACTTATATAAAAGGGGGTCTGTCGCCAACAATATATGGACCGTTTATTTTGAAAGTGGTGTAAGTCCATTTTTGAGAAAAATGAGCTATCACGTAATTCATGCTTAATTTAATGTAAATTTTTTTTATATATAACTAGTCCGTGTTTAATTTCTCAAAAAATCCCATGTTTTGTACAAAACAACTTAAAATCGGTCGGTAAATGAAATTGCATAATCATCGATTATGGAAGTGGTGTAAGTCCAATTGACAGAGGTAGGTGGCACAGCAGATGGATGCCGATCGGTGTTTTGTTATTTTTAATTTTTTTTTTAATTATCAATTTATTACCTCTACGTCCTGGAAGACCGTTAAAATTTAAAAAAATTCGCCCTGCAGCCTCTGTACCAAAATGCCAGACCTATTATGTACGAAAAATATAAAGACATGAAGCAGCTACTACCCTATATACCTCCGGTGCGTCATGCATATTTTGAAACACTACCACGTGCTGAAAATAAGTAAATTCTTGTAACCAGGTGGTCTACCATGAAATGAAATTCCGAAATTTCGGGCTCAATTTCGTGTTTTTGTTCGTACCGAAATCGACCCAGTAAATGGAGCTTAACATTTTGGTCATCATAAATCCTATCCTAATAGTCCAGAGGAACGATATTTTAACATTTTTAATAATTTTAAACGCCATGTATTATGTAATTTTAACACCAAGTTTCTGTTTCGTTCGTTCTCGAAATTTCGAAAAATATTTCATGGTAGGCCCTCAGTGTCTTGTAATGACAATGTAATTGCCGTCTAAAATTAAATTTTATGTGTTATTATGCGTATTTGTAAACAAAATTATATTAAAATGAAGTATATTAGGGGGAAAGGGATTGTTAGTAATGGAGACTGAGAATCCCATTGCTAGCAATATACCCAACCAGGTCGACCTCCTCGCGGTTCTCCCTGGAAACTATCACAGTTAAATCCTGATGAATTCATCATGATGTGCTAACTGGCCTGTTTTCATTCTCACCTATCACCCTTCACTGGTGCTCCGCCAGCGTATTCCGTTAGCGCAGGCGGGGTTACCATACCATTTTCACCCAAAAAAAAAAAAAGTATATTTTAAGAGATATTTGATTTTTCAAAATTGAAATTAAACGATTTTTACAATTGTCTAATTCTGAAAGTGGTGTAAGTCCATTTACAGGACATACATATTTGTTATCGTAGTCTAATTAGAACGGAAGAGGGCACTAACTCCTGAAACACAGGTTTTTTCATACCCACCTCGGGAGTTAGGGACTTGAAATTATATTGTAACAAAGAGTGAAATATAGATTATTTATTATTATTATTAATTAGCCAAAAACAAATTTATATAAACAAATTAAATGTTGATAAAACAATAGAAACAATGCCAGACCTCATATGATTTGCCTGTATTTTTAAATCAACAAATATTAAATTTAACAACCTTTAATTTTCTCGAAACAAAAGAAAATGGACTTACACACTTTCAAAATAAACGGTACATATGTATATATACATATATAAAATTAATCTTATATTTTATATATATAATATCTATTGAGTCAGGTTACTAACAATAGCCCATTGAATTTCAAATTATCTTTATTTAAAAAGACTTGTTTACAAGCACTTTTAAATTGTAATTTTTTTTTTAAATCTACTCTAGGGTTCGAGAGGTTATTATCTGTTAAGAAGAGCCAGCGAGACACTCAACAGTTAGTTTTAACCCTTCTTTGCATAACGGTGGAAATTTCCATCATAACATTGAACGCCCATGAATTATATAAAAGAACAAGTTCACTTTAAGTCGATCGTGTCTGGATACCTTTTTAATGTCCATTGCAGTAAAAAAAAAAAAAAACATAGCTGTCAAATTTATTTTTTAACTATTTTTCCTTTAATTTTGAACATGAATTATATCGCCTTGATTTATTTCAACAATAAAAAAATGATGCAAAGAAGGGTTAAATCTCTGTTTAACATAACATGTATTTATTTAAATGTAGGTACTATGTCTAAAACTACATGGTCGTTAAAAGCTCATGCATGATCGACTAACACCATGCACGATTGTCATGCAAGTAATCACTTAGAATGTAATAGGCTTTGTTCAATAAGTGTTTTCTAGTACTACCTTATATAGCTTATGTTTAAGTTGCAAAAATCTGTCAATTTTAAAAAAATAATTTACATTTTTTTTTTTTATATCAATGTATGTGAATTGTAGATGGAGGCAATAATTGAGAAGATGCAAGATGAGAACACCGGTGTACCGGTGCGGACGGTGAAGAGTTTCATGACCAAGATACCCTCCGTAAGTACCATACTTTTTTTTTATACCACTGAGGTGGCAAACAAGCATACGGCCCACCTAATGGTAAGTGGTTACTGTAGCCTATGAACGCCTGCAATACCAGGGGTATTACGCGTACGTTGCCGACCCTGACGAAACCTCTTTATCCTCCTTTTGAAGAACCCCACGCTGTAGTCTCTTGGGAAAACCTCGGCAGGAAGCTCATTCCACAACCTGAGTGTTCGTGGGAGGAAACATCTCTGAAACCGCGCAGTACGCGACCATTGAGGCTGTAGGACATGAGGATGAACTCCCTGTCGATGGCGAGCCGTACGATGGTAGAAAGTGGCTGTGGGCATCATATGGAACAATTCCTCTGAGCATAATCCGTTGTACAGGCGGAGAACACGCACGTGAGGCAAAATCTCTCCTAAGACTTAAGGGTTCGATACCGCTTGTGAGCCTGGGATCAACTATTTTTTTTTTTATTACATTCATATTCCGAATAGCGAACTAGCTGACGGCCCACCTGATGGAAAGTGGTAACCGTCGCGAATGTTTATTGTGACTTTTATTATTATTGTAACCATGGTGGTTTATTCCTGGCGAATTTGACCAGAGGGAGACTGTACAAAAGTCGATTGCTTGGATACCTCTGTCCCATTCGTGTTTCAACCGTGAAGCAGTTGTGTTTGCATGGCTGTGTTTCGGTTTAAAGGGTGGAATATGGCGTGAATTTACTGGGTACAGAGGAATAACACCTGAGTCCTCAGGAATGGCAACGCATGGGGTGGTATCGTGGGCGAAACAGTATACTCTGTTATGTCCATGGTACCGCTCATGTCTATAGGCGACGGTTACCACTTTCCATCAGGTGGGCCGTCAGCTTGTTTGCCATTCAAAGTCTCCCTCTGGTATAATGCTCGTTCGTCTCCTGTATTTAAAAAAAATGTATGTATGTAAAAATCCGCTGTTCCAATTGATTGTATCTAAAAATATGGTCATCGCCTCCAGGTGTTCACCGGCTCGGACCTGGTGGCGTGGCTCTCCCGCCACCTCCAGCTGGAGGAGCCGTGGGAGGCGCCGCACCTGGCCCACCTCCTGGCCGCGCACGGATACCTGTTCCCCATCGATGATCACTGCCTGACCGTGAAGAATGACAACACTTATTACAGGTGAATTGAGTTATTCACATTGTTTTTATGAAGGTATTTTTTTTTAATACAACTTAGAATTATTCATTATATTTGCTATTATTTAATATTTTATTCTAATTAATAAATTATTGACAAATACCATTAGAAGAAGGGGGGAAGGAAGGTTCTTAAGTGGCGACCGTGTATGATCAAACGCAGTGTAGGACGACCCCCCCTCCACTAGATGGAATGAGGACCTGAAATGTATTGCAGGGAGACAGTGGATGCGGTTGGCTCAGGACCATTCCTTATGGCAGTCTCCATAGTCCCCCATGGGAGGCCCATGTTCAGTAATGAACGGATAGTGGCTGAAATGAACGAATGAATGAAATATGGTAACGTTCGGAAATAACCATTTTATTTCAAACAGATTTTTAATATGATGTGTTTATTAAAAAAGCCGACTTCAAATGTACATGTACATGTAATATACATGCATATACAAACACACAATCATTTACATATATCTGAAACTCCAGAACCAAATTTTTCATTGGTTTTTTTTATATATATATATATATATATATATATATATATATATATATATATATATATATATATATATATATATATATGTGTGTAATAATAATAATAATAAAATTAGATAGAACTAACAGAATGTTTTCATGGTGCCTCCCACCACACTGTTTATAACTACTCCTCTCCATCCAAAGGTTGCCTGCAAGAGATCGCTCTCAGCGATAAGGTCGCCCATTGTCGTCTCATTGTGATTATTTCTTGTAATTATTTATATTTATAATAAGTTTACTATTGTAATCTTTTGGAGGAAACAATAAAGAGTATCTATCTATCTATCTATCAATTAAAAAATATTTTTTTAATTGAATTTGTATGAGAGGTAAATGTTTAAAAAGTCACACGGGAACACATTCGTGCGGAAATAATGTAAGTTTTGTTTGTTACAGATTTCAAACACCATACTTTTGGCCGTCGAATCAATGGGAACCGGAGAACACTGATTATGGTAATCATTTTGTACTCATATTTTTTTTTATACAACTTAGAATGGCAAACAAGCTGACGGCTCACCTGATGCAAAGTGGTAACTGTCGCCTATAGACATGAGCAGTACCGTGGACATAACACTTGGCTACCTCTGTCCCATTCGTGTTTCTACCGTGAAGCAGTTGTGTTTGCATGGCTGTGTTTCGGTTTGAAGGGTGGGATATGGCGCGAATTTACAGGGTACAGAGGAGTGACGCCTGGGTCCTCGGGAGTGGCAACTCATGGGGGGTATCATGGGCGAAACAGTATACTCTGTTATGTCCACGGTACTGCTCATGTCTATAGGCGACGGTTACCACTTTCCATCAGGTGGGCCGACGGCTTGTTTGCCATTGTAAGTTGTATAAAAAAAAAAACTTCAAATATTTTTGAAAATTATATTTCTATATTAATCGTGACCCAAACGGAACTGTAATATTTTGAGGCATATAAACTTACAGTGACCGCGACGTTTCGTTATATTCCATTCGTATATGTCACGGAGATGTGCATCGAGCGGTTAATTTGCTATTTTTTTTTATAAAAGTGCCAAAACTCTTTTCTCCTACATTCTTCACGACTCTGGAACGCGCTTCCTGATGCCATTAAGAGACTACCGACTAAAGCGTCTTTCAAAAAAAGCGTTCACGCTCACTTTTTATTTTTATCCGAGCAGTAAGTGCTTTATATTATTCCCAAATTCGTGTATAATATAGTATATGTCATATATGTGTAAGTATATTTGTTATTCATATATATTTATTCGTTTATATATGTAATTTTAGTATGTATGTATATCAATAATTACTAGTACCGCATTCGTGTATTCTGACACTTCCCTATGGTTGACTGGGAGAGAATGCTTTTAGCATTAAGTCCACCATGTACGCATATTTGTACTAATGAATAAATAAATAAATAAATAAATAAAAATAAGTACTAAATGTAATGAATGTTCCCTTTGCGACAGCTGTGTACCTGTGCAAGCGTACGATGCAGAATAAAGCGCGGCTCGAGCTGGCCGACTACGAGGCCGAGTCGCTGGCCCGCCTCCAGAAGATGTTCAGCAGGAAGTGGGAGTTCATATTCATGCAAGCAGAGGCGCAGAGCAAGGTGAGGGCCTAGAGAAATCATTCCCAACCATTGTTGTGTCACGCCCCACTTGAACATTTCTAAAATTTTAAAATACCCCTGTGTTTTTTTTTTTACACAACTTAGAATGACAATCAGGCTGACGGCCCACCTGATGTAAAGTGGTAACCGTCGCCTATAGACATGAGCAGTACCATGGACATAACAGAGTATAATGTTTCGCCCATGATACCCCCCTATGCGTTGCCATTCCTGAGGACTCAGGTGTTATTCTTCTGTATTCTGTAAATTCACGCCATATCCCACCCTTCAAACCGAAACACAGCCATGCAAATACAACTGCTTCACGGTAGAAACACGAATGGGACAGAGGTACCCAAGCAATCGACTTCTGTACAAAGTCTCCCTCTGGGAAAAAAGTTTACTTGACAACTCTAATCGTACAGTTGATATTTTGGTAACGTCAAACGAAATTATACCTAACTAGCGGCCCGTCCCGGCGTCGCACGGGTGGACATTTTTACATTTTAAAAAGTGGCCATTAAGACTGCACACGCGACGGAAGCTTAAAAATGGAGTAACTTCTCCCGTTTTCCCAACATTTCCCTTCACTGCCCTGCTCCTATTGATCGTAGCGTGATGAAAAGTATACTATAACCTGCCCAGGAGTATGAAGAATAATTGTATCAAGTTTCGTTAGAATCCGTCGGGTAGTTTTTGTTTCTATAACGAACATACAGACAGACAAACAAAAATTTTCCTGATTGCAGTTTTGGCATCAGTATGGATCACTAATCACCCGCTGATAGTTATTTTGGAAATATATTTCATGTATAGAATTGACCTCTCTACAGATTTATTATAAGTATAGAAAGATAAAAATGTTAACATCTTTTCGATACAAATTCTCTTATAAAAACATTTTTCCTGAAAGTCAACGTTTTAGATTTACTTTAAAATTATTTGTGACCAATTTCCTTATTAATTTTGGAATGTTATTGTCTACCGTTATTGTCCTAACTAGCGTCCCGTCCTGGCTTCGCACGGGTGGACTTTTTTCCACATTTTAAAAATGTGGTTATTGTGACATAACGATAATAGTTGGACATGGGAGAAAAGGATTGTTAGCAATGGAGTTTGACAGCCCCATTGCTAGCAATATACCTTATTAGGTTGACCTCCACGTGGTTCTCCCTGGAAACCATCGTGGACAATTCTTGTTGAATTCGTCACGATGGGCTAACTGACCTGCTTCATCCTCACCTATCATCCCTCACTGGTGTCCCGCCGGTGTATACCGATAGCGCGGGTGGGGTTACCATTCCATTATCAGCCATTAAAAAAAAAAATAGTTGGACATATAGTATCGCGGAGTTTTTTGTAGTTATTGATATTTTCTTCAATATTGTAGAACATACTTTTGTTCTATCACCAATAGTTTCCGCAGCGCACGCGACCAAAGATATTTTATAGCGTTTCTTGTACACCTTGAGTTACGTTACTAAAGTTTTAGTAAGGATCCCTAATCTTTTCTAGCAATAAATATGTTACTCAGGGTGAATGTAGCTTTCTAATGGTGAAAGAATTTTTGAAATCGGCAAAATAGTTTTTGAGTTTATTCATTACAAACATACATACAAAAATACAAAACTTTTTTCTTTATAATATTAGTGTAGATATAATTGAATCGAATAAAAAAATTCTTTCTTGCTACAGGTGGATAAAAAACGCGATAAATTGGAGCGTAAAGTGCTGGACAGCCAGGAGAGGGCGTTCTGGGATGTTCACCGTCCAATGGTACGTACCTTTCACTTATCGCCCCTGCCAAGGTTTCCCAAGAGACCACAGTATGGGGCTCTTCAAAAAGGGGGTAAAGAGGTTTCTTCAGGGTCGGCAACGCGCGCGTCATTTGCATTCGTTCATAGGCTACGGTAACCACTTACCATCAGGTGGGCCGTATGCTTGATTGCCACCTCAGTGGTGTAAAAAAAAGCAGCAGTATACAGCTAGTTAATTTTACAGCCCGGGTGCGTTAACACAACCGAGCTGGACCCTCGGAAGCTGTCCCGCATCAACGCACTGAAGGCCAAGAGGCTGCGGCAGTGTCAAGAGCTGGTCCTGCAATACAACCTCAAGGTATAGTATGTTCAGGGTGCCGATAGAAGGGGAAAGGGGTCGTTAGTAACCTAAAATTCTCTGTAAGTCGACCTTTTTTTTCTTATGAAATTTTGTGTGCATATCGGGTAGGTCTGAGAATCGGCCAACATCTATTTTTCATACCCCTCAATGATAAGGGTGACCCTCTCCAAAAAATTTTTTATTTTTTTTTATTTTTTTGACAAATTTTTCCATTTTTATTTTATTATGATTTAGCATTGAAAAATACATACAAATTCAAATTTTCACCGTTTCACGATCAACGCCTGTTTTTTAATCGCTATTTTTATATTCGGCAATAGGGTTGCAAGATGGCGATCGTATATAATAATTGTAGTATGATATATTTTCATGTATAGTTCTAGAAATAATACATACATACATATCTGTCACGCCTGTCTCCCATTAGGGTAGGCAGAAACAATGGAACGCCAAATGCTTCGATTCAAACAAACCTAGAAATAATGTATATGGTAAAACAACGTTTGCCGAGTCAGCTGGTTAATTCTATAATAATTTATTTCAGAACAATCCAATAGTGACCATCACGAATCCACAAGAGAGCGAAGAGGAAATACAGAAGAAGAATTCGGACAACACTGTCAAGGAGAACGGTGAGATTTATCAAAAATGTTACTAAGCAATTAATATATCTATACTTATAATAAATCTGTACAGAGGTCAATTCTGTACATGGAATATATTTCCAAAATAACTATCAGCGGGTGATTGTTTTGATGTGTGAAAATGGTATGGTAACCCCGCCTGCGCTAACGGGATACGCTGGCGGAGCACCAGTGAAGGGTGATAGGTGAGAATGAAAACAGGCCAGTTAGCACATCATGATGAATTCATCAGGAATTAACCATGATAGTTTCCAGGGGGAACCGCGAGGAGGTCGACCTGGTTGGGTATATTGCTAGCAATAGGATTCTCAGTCTCCAATACTAACAATCCCTTTCCCCCCATCAGCGGGTGATTAGTGATCGATACTGATGCCAAAAATGCATGCAGTAAAATTTTTGTCTGTCTGTCTGTTCGTTGTAGAAACGAAAACTGCTCGACGGATTCTAACGAAACTTGGTACAATTATTCTTCATACTCCTGGGCAGGTTATAGTACACTTTACATCACGCTACGATCAATAGGAGCAGAGCAGTGAAGGGAAATGTTGGGAAAACGGAAGAAGTTACGTCATTTTTAAGCTTCCGTCGCGTGTGCAGCCTTGATGGCCACTTTTTTAAATGTAAAAATGTCCACTCGTGCGACGCCGGGACGGGCCGCTATTATATAATAAAATTGTAACTGGTCGCTGTCTGTACATGGAAGATATATAAGAAAAACTATTACAGGGCGGCTTTATGAACGCAATATGACCAAAAATAATAATTTTTAGAATTTTTATCCATTTGTCTGTATGTTTGTGCATGCTAATCTCACAAACGGCTTAACCGATTTGAATGCGGTTTTCACTAATGCGTTGCGGTTTGCTCCGCTTAACATTTAGTGTTTGTTTTATTTCAATAGGTTCATAAATAAAAAAGTTATATCAATCTAAAGAATCACATATGAAATGCTACAAAGCTACGTGCGAAGCCGGGTTTGATTGCTAGTATTTATAATAAAACGAAACTGCACAACGTCTGTATATATTCCATATATGAGAAATTTTTTTATAAGGGGTCTTAATAAGGGCAATAGAAGTCATTTGCTTGGGTACCTCTGTCCCATTCGTGTTTCTACCGTGAAGAAGTTGTGTTTGCATGGCTGTGTTTCGGTTTGAAGGGTGGCATACGGCAGTGAATTTACACGGTACAAAGGAATAACACCTGAGTCCACAGGAATGGCAACGCATGGGGGGTATCGTGGGCGAAACAGTATACTCTGTTAATGCTACTGGTCATGTCTATAGGTGACGGTTACCACTTTCCATCAGTTAGGATATTTCGATAGTGTTATATTTAATTGAGTTTCCTACTTCTTAAACCACGCATACGAAGCAGCGGGCAAATAGCCAGTACGGAATAACAGTAAGCACATAAACACAGCAATCGGTTTTACAGGGGAGAGTTCGCAGCCAGAGGTAACCGTGTCTACCGCGGCCGCCGGCCGAGACAACCGCACCGTGCAGCAGCAGACCGAGGCGGCGCGGCGCCAGCTCGCCATGCTGCGCGCGCGGCTCGAGCGCCGCAACGTGCGCGTCAGCAAGGTCGCCGACATGTGAGTACACTGCACTGTACTGTACTGTACTGCACTATTACGCTGCACCGCAATCTACTACGCTGCACTGTTCTGTACTGTAGTACAGTGCACTGCACCGTACTGCACTGCACTGCACTGTTACACTGCACTGCACTGCACTGTTACACTGCACTGCACTGCACTGTTACACTGCACTGCACTGCACTGTTACACTGCACTGCACTGTATTACACTGTACTGCTCTATACTACACTGGACTGCAATTTACACCACTGAACTGCATTGCACTACACTACACTGTATTGCATTGTACTGTACTACACTGCACTGCATTGTACTGTACTACACTTCAAAGTACTGCACTTCACAAGTATGGCATTGTATTTAGTATCAACCATGCTTGGCTACGACCTGCATGGCTGAATATTATACCCGCGAAAAAGGGATATAATATGTATAATATGTACTTAGATGTTTGTATATAGTATTCATATAATTATGAAATATGCATTTTTTTAACACGATCGTTTTTTTCTACCGGCCCGTTCCGGCTTTGCACGGGTGGACATTTTTACAACATTTTAAAAAGTGGTTATTGTGACATAACTATAATAGTTGGACATATAGTATCGCGAAGTTTTTTGTAGTTATTGATATTTTCTTCAATATCGTAGAACATACTTTTGTTCTATCACCAATAGTTTCCGCAGCGCACGCGACCAAAGATATTTTATAGCATTTTTTGTACACCTTGAGTTACGTTACTAAAGTTTTAGTAAGGATCCCTAATGTTTTCTATCAATAAATATAGCCTATGTCACTCAGGATGAATGTAGCTTTCTAATGGTGAAAGAATTTTTGAAATCGGTAAAGTAGTTTTTGAGTTTATTCATTACAAACATACATACACACAAAAATACAAATCTTTCTTCTTTACAATATTAGTGTAGATTCGAAATAGTCTGAAACACGCCCTCTGTTGCAGGTTCATAGCGTACTGCGAGCAGTATGCGGAGTACGACGCGTTCCTCACGCCGCCCGAGTGGCCCAACCCCTGGATAAGCGATACCACCGAGCTGTGGGAACAGGAGAAGCATTGGTGAGGTTTTTTTTTTATATACATCTTAGAATGGTAAACAAGCTAACGGGGCACCTGATGGAAAGTGGTAACCGTCGCCTATAGACATGAGTAGTACCGTGGACATAACAGAGCGTACTGTTTCGCCCATGATACCCCCCATGCGTTGCCATTCCTGAGAACTCAGGTGTTATTCTTGTATACTCGGTAAATTCACTGCCATATCGCACCCTTCAAACCGAAACACAGCCATGCTACGTTAACGGGATACGCTGGCGGAGCACCAGTGAAGGGTGATAGATGAGAATGAAAACAGGTCAGTTAGCCCATCATGATGAATTCATCAGGAATTAACCATGATAGTTTCCAGGGGGAACCGCGTGGAGGTCGACCTGGTTGGGTATATTGCTAGCAATGGGATTCTCAGTGTTCATTACTAACAATCCCTTTCCACTCTTTTGGCGCCAGTTAAAAGGAGGTAGCGGAATGTGTCTGTACAGACAGTAAAAGTGTATACTGTGCCTTCCCGCAGCAAGGACCCGCTGCCGTTGCGGCGCGTGCGGCGCTGGGCTTTCGGGCTGCGGGAGCTGCTGCAGGATCCGGCCGGCCGGGACCACTTCGCCAAGTTCCTGTCCAAGGAGTTCAGCGGGGAGAATCTCAAGTAACTACACATACATACATACATATAGTTTTTTTTTTAGAATAGTAGAGTAAAATATAAAATATTTATTGCCTGAACAACACTGATTAGAACAGAAAATACAAAAATATTACATACAAGCCGTTTCCCGCGGCGTTGCCCGCTTCAAATGGTAGTTACGTACCTAACACCTTCATAAAGTTTCAGCCAATACAACTGATAGTTTTTTTTTTTTTTAATGGATGATAATGGAATGGTAACCCCACCCGCGCTATTAGTATACACCGGCGGGGCACCAGTGAAGGATGATAGGTGAGGATGAAGCAGGTAGACTACCAGAGGGAGACTTTGTACAAAACTCGATTGCTTGGGTACCTCTGTCCCATTCGTGTTTCTACCGTGAAGCAGTTGTGTTTGCATGGCTGTGTTTCGGTTTGAAGGGTGGGATATGGCGTGAATTTACTGGGTACAGAGGAATAACACCTGAGTCCTCAGGAAGGGGGTATCGTGGGTGAAACAGTGTACTCTGTTATGTCCACGGTACTGCTCATGTCTATAGGCGACGGTTACCACTTTCCATCAGGTGGGCCGTCAGCTTGTTTGCCATTCTAAGTTGTATAAAAAAAAAAGGTCAGTTAGCCTATTGTGACGAATTCTGCGAGTGTCCCAGCGCAATGTGTACAGCTGCACGGCGCTGATTTCCAGCCAGTCTCTCTTTTGACAAGACACCTGTTTTTTGTTTTTTTTTTTTCTCAAATACCTCCCATGTAGAGACACCATCTGTTAATGTTTTTTTTTTTTTTTATAATATTAGTAAACTTAAAAAATTTCATACTCGTTCCAGATTTTGGTTAGCAGTGCAGGAATTGAAGGCGCTACCCATCCGCCGCGTCGCGTCCCGCGCTAAAGAGATCTGGAAGGAGTTCCTCGCGTCCGACGCGCCCTCTCCCGTCAACATCGATGCTGCCAGCAGGTAAGGATGAATTTCACGATATGGAGGCACGACTTTACAAAACTTCTCCTATGGGAAATCTAATTAACCTCGAATTATATATATATATATATATATATATATATATATATATATATATATATATATATATATATATATATATATATATATATATATATATATATATATATATATATATATATATATATTTATATATATAATATGCTTATGTTTTACAAAAAAATATATTTTTATACAACTTAGAATGGCAAACAAGCTGACGGCCCACTTGATGGAAAGTGGTAACCGTCGCCTATAGACATGCCCATGATACCCCCCATGCGTTGCCATTCCTGAGGACTCAGGTGTTATTCCTCTGTACCCTGTAAATTCACTTCCATATCCCACCCTTCAAACCGAAACACAGCCATGCAAACACAGCTGCTTCACGGTTGAAACACGAATGGGACAGAGGTACCCAAGCAATCGATTTTTGTACAAAGTCTCCCTCAATTTTCACCTAATGTATAACCCATATTGCATATACAATAAATGATTTAAATTTGACATCTGAAATGTTTTTCTCTTCAGGGAACTGACACGCACGAAGGTGGAATCCGGTACCGCAGACAGATACTGCTTCGACCAAGCACAGGTAATACGAAACTCGCTACTCAGGCGACACAGTGTACACTGTGATGCCCGTGGTCCTGTTTATAATGATTCAGATATTCGGCGGGTTTCGAGGCCGGATAACCGAATTTTTTTTTATACAACTTAGAATGGCAAACAAGCTGACGGCTCACCTGATGGAAAGAGGCAACCGTCGCCTATAGACATGAGCAGTACCGTGGACCCAACAGAGTACACTGCTTCGCCCATGATACCCCCCATGCGTTGCCATTCCTGAGGACTCAGGTGTTATTCCTCTGTACCCAGTAAATTCACTGCCATATCCCACCCTTCAAACAGAAACACAGCCATGCAAACACAACTGCTTCACGGTTGAAACACGAATGGGACAGAGGTATCCAAGCAATCGACTTTTGTACAAAGTCTCCCTCTGAAAGTCGAATATTAGACGGATATCCATTTCGATTTATTTTTATTTATTTTTAAGTGGCACCTTAAAAAAGTTAAAATCTCTTATCTATCTACGCGTATCTTAGAACTTATTTTAATAGATAATAAGGTAATGGTAACCCCGCCTGCGCTGTCGGTATATGCTGGTGGGGCACCAGTGAGGGATGATAGGTGAGAATGAAAAGGCAGGTCAGTTAGCCCACCGTGATGAATACACCTGGAATTTAGCACGTTGCTGTCCATGGTGGACCAGGTGGAGGTCGACCTGATAGGGTATTTCTAGCAATGGGGCGTGAGAACCCATTATTAGCAATCCCTCCCCCCCCCCCATATTTATGATGTTTTTTAATAGATGGCAATGGAGTGGTAACCCCACCTGCGCTAACGGTTTACGCTGTCGGGGCACCAGTAAGAGGTGATAAGGGGGAAAGGGATTGTTAGTTATGGAGACTGAGAATCCCATTGCTAGCAATATACCCAACCAGGTCGACCTCCTCGCGGTTGCCCCTGGAAACTATCATGGTTAATTCCTGATGAATTCATCATGATGGGCTAACTGGCCTGTTTTCATTCTCATCTATCACCCTTCACTGGTGCTCCGCCAGCGAATCCCGTTAGCGCAGGCGGGGTTACAATACCATTTTCACCTATCAAAAAAAAGTAAGAGGTGATAGGTGAGAATGAAAAGGCAGGTCAGTTAGCCCACCGTGATGGATGCGCCTGGAATTCAACACGATGGTTTCCAAGGGGACCATATGGATGTCGACCTTATGAGTATATTATTAGAAATGGGACTCCTAGTCCGCATTACTATCCCTTTTCGGGGGAACCGATAGCGCAGACGGGGTTACCATACCATTATCATCCATTTAATAAAAGCCATCCCTTTCCCCCCTGTACTTGGGGTTGAGTACCCCTCCCACTCTATCCCCCTAGATACATCAATAGGAACAGCGAAGCCGCAGCATAGGCATAGGCTTTAAACTTAAACAATTTAGAATCTTAACAGGCTTCCCGACCATCGCATTTAAAGTGTAAGTACATCTTTCATGGGGAAATGTATACGTTTTTATAACAAACTTCCAGATGACGTTTTACATTTAAATGAAAGAAAATTTAAAATATATTTAAAAAGGACTCTCTGTACAAAAGCATTTATTTTTTTATACAACTTAGAATGGCAAACAAGCTGACGGCCCACCTGATGGAAAGTGGTAACCGTCGCCTATAGACATGAGCAGTACCATGGACATAACAGAGTATACTGTTTCGCCAATGATACTCCCCATGCGTTGCCATTCCTGAGGACTCAGGTGTTATTCCTCTGTACCCAGTAAATTCACGCCATATCCCACCCTTCAAACCGAAACACAGCCATGCAAACACAATTGCTTCACGGTTGAAACACGAGTGGGACAAAGGTACCCAAGCAATCGACTTTTGTACAAAGTCTCCCTCTGGTAAAATATATTATAAATTAAATGACTATTTAATGGACAAAACTGCATGGATTTGAATTTTGTATTAATGTGAATTGTATTGTAAATGTAATTACTGTATTTTTTTTTTTTAAATCAATATTATTTTATATATTAATTATTATTATTATAAAATGACGTATCATAAGAATCTATAACAGATGTATATGAAAAAAAAAAAAGAAAAAAAAAGTGTTTATAAAGTGTGTTGGAAATGAAATTTGAATGAATTAATTTGCGCAGGCGCATGTATACCACCTGATGAAGTCCGACAGCTATTCAAGATACCTGCGCTCGGAGATGTACAAGGACTATCTCAACGGAGCCAAGAAAAAGGTAAATGTTAGCCATCGTCGTAGTCGTAGAATACTGACGGATCATTAATTGGCGGTAATTAGTGGCGGTCTTCCACCGTACGTTTTTCAAGCCACTTTCTTCCACGCACAATCATTTTTTGGAATCAACTTCCAGCGGCAGTATTTCTGAACCGATACGACAACATAACCTTCAAGAAAAGAGTATATTCCTTTTTAAAAGGTCGGCAGCACACCTGCAATGCCGCTGGTGTTGTGAGTGATCATGGGCGGCGGTAGTCACTTACCATCAGGTGAGCCGCATGCTCGTTTGCCCCCTGTGTTGTAAAAAAAAAATAATTAAAATAAAATCGTAAAAAAAAACTTGTAAATTTATTGTATGTTGTACTATACGAATGTGGCTACACTTTACTTTCCTGTGGGTGTCTAATTGCGGTTGCCAGCCCGCTTGCCAAACGTGGCAATTACTGGCAACGCACCCCTTATGGGGAAGGCCTATGGTAAACTGGCTGATATTAATGATTGAATGTACGACAATTGTTTTTTTTTCCATAAACATTTTTTTTTTTATTTCAGACTTCAGTCAAAGGTATTCGTTCCATCGTGTCGTTCACTGGCAGGAAAGAGACATCTACCAATTAGCCGACTCAGCAGAAGGGTATTATGTTACAGTAAACGCAGGCAAGGTTAAAATCTCAAGGTCAGATCTTGCATTTTTTTAGACAGTCCCAACTGGATTCTGTCAACTATAAATGGTTTTACTGAACATCGCTTTTTACCGGTAAATTTTTACCTGATACCGGTAAATGACATATTGTACAATTACATATGTTGTTGTTGAATGAGTACATATTTATGTTAGCGGTTTTTAAATTGATTTTTTTGCTGAACATTGTTTTTATCGGTGAATACCGGTAAATTGTCCCAAATACCGGTAAATGACAAATTGCACAACTACAAACTTGGATTAGTTAGTACGTATATGTAAGTTACCGGCTTATGAATTGATTGTTTTGTCGAATATTGGTTTTACCGGTATTTACCGGTAAATCTTTTCCGATATTTTTAAATGACATCATACATAAATGAAAATGTGGTACTATTGAAATAGTACATAAAAACTTACAGTTTTTATATATCTGGCAAAATGTTGTTCCTTGATGCCAAAATGTAGGTTATAATTAACCAGTTTTTTTTTTTTTTTATTTAATATCCAATGTACAGCAAAGATTCAATAATAGTTAATAGTAAAAAAAAATAAAGACAGAACCGTAGAAGATAAATGGGTAACATAGTGTAGTATTTAATACCGGAAAATTTCGGTATATTTTTCGGTATACCGATACCAAAAATTATACACCAAATGAATTCGATAATTTTATTATAATTAATATCAGAAATTGTGGTTAATTTTTAATTTACCTCTACCGAATACATTGCACGTAATTTTTTTTTTGTGTAAACCGGAAATTTCCGGTAAAAGATCATTTCGCCGGTACTGAAATGCTTAAAGAAACAACTCTTTCGCGTGTTTCACTTTAAATTCTCAGTATTATAGAGTGTATCTAATATTGTCTATCTCTTTTCAACGCGGATGTAATAGAATGAGAGAGCGGATATACAAACTGTGTTCGATGGTTAGAGTGCGCGGTAGTTATATAGTCAAGTCTCAACCAAAGTTATATAAAAGGCTGTTGAAATTAACTGCCGTTTTGTTTTCACAAAAAAAAATATCTCGTATTATAAGTAAGTAAGATTTACACCGAACGGTGCACGTTGGAACGCTTGGTAGCGCATTTGACAATGTGGAAGGTTTTTTTTTTTATGACAGAGAGCTTGAAAAAAGCGGTTTTTTTTGTTTTGTTATCCGTACAACTAAGCATGGTCGTTTGTCTGCTGTGTTTTAAAAGAAACTACGTGCCACTAATAACAATAACAGTAATAAGAATTATTGCCCTAAATGTAGAGGTAAGTCGTCACCAAAAAGATGAAACAAATATGCGATATGTAAACCATTGCATTAAATTTTAAAGAAATAACAATATTTATTATTATTTCTTCGTCTTATTATTTTTTGTTTAAGTAATAAAGATAAACTTTACTAATCCATTTTCATCATAAAAAAAAAAAACCATAAAGTTTTCTGACCGCCCGCCAGCGTGTTTACCATTCGAAGTATTATAAAAAAAAAACTACTACATATATAGAGACTGCAATAAACTGTGTTCTACATTAAAATTTACTTATAATCACATCGCATTAAGAACCGAACGTGAATTTAAATGCGCTAGTAGTACCTAAGTATGCCCTTTACCGCAACGTGAAATGCTCTCCGACGCGCGCCGTTCAGTGTGAATTGTGCATTAGACAATGTAAATATTTGATTGTTTTAGATGATAGACAATACATGGGTGTCGTTACGTGTATGTAGCTAGGTTTATACAGGGTGTGAAATATATTTATTAGATAGATAAATAATTTAAATATATTTAATAAATTAAAAGAAGATTACAAAGATCCATTTTTGTTAGTAACAATTGACTTAAACTATGTTAGTAGAGAGAAAAAAATACAAGACAATTCATTTTATGGCCCCTATAATAATTTTGACCCATAGTGAGCTTGGCGTTAATTTACAGGGTACCATCAGGTGGGCCGTCAGCTTGTTTGCCATTCTAAGTTGTATAAAAAAAATGGAAATTTTACGTACTCAATATATGAAACTTATACCTATATATCCCAGGCTCACAAGCGGTATCGATCCCTTGAGTCTTAGGAGAGACTTTGCCTCACTCTGCGTGTTCTACCGCCTGTACAACGGATTGTGCTCAGAGGAATTGTTCAATATGATGCCCACAGCCACTTTCTACCATCGTACGGCTCGCCATCGACAGGGAGTTCATCCTCATGTCCTACAGCCTCAATGGTCGCGTACTGCGCGGTTTCAGAGATGTTTCCTTCCACGAACACTCAGATTGTGGAATGAGCTCCCTGCCGAGGTTTTCCCAAGAGACTACAGCATGGGGTTCTTCAAAAGGGGGGTAAAGAGGTTTCTTCAGGGTCGGCAACGCGCGCGTAATACCCCTGGTATTGCAGGCGTTCATAGGCTACGGTAACCGCTTACCATCAGGTGGGCCGTATGCTTGTTTGCCACCTCGATGGTATAAATTTTTTTTATTAGGAATTATGCGAAAGAATGTATATATTTCACATCCTGTACATAACTTTCAAATGATATTATTAACATAAAAGAGTATTTTTAATCTATTTAATGTTTAAAGATTAAAAAAAAAAACATATTTCTATAAGCTTACTGTATTTATATATTATATATTAATATATGTTTTTTATTAGTAGGTACTATGTTTCTTTTTATTTTTAATCGCAGAACAGAAAAAAAAAGACTTGAAAATGTATGGAGGATAGAAAGTTTTTTTTTTTGTTTTTACTTTTAATTCTAAATCTAAATTGATTTCCCTGTACAAATACCATTTTTTTACTTAAAAACTTAATAAGAATTCGATTTGGTATAATCGTTTTATTTATTTATATAAATATCGTACGACAAATCTTATTCAAGGGCTCGTAAACCGATTTTGATTACTCTTTTTAGCTGTTTATTTCCGTATTACTGGTAAAAACCCAAATAAAACTCAATTTGGTTCATCCTTTTTATTTATATCTTTTTTTTTTAAATATCGTACGACAACTCTTATTCAAGGACTCGTAAACCGATTTTGATTACTCTTTTTTTTTCTCTTCAAAGTAATACGATTTTTATATCGCTTCTAGTTCTTTTTTTTTTGTTCTGCGATCTTAATTAAAACATTGGTATTAAATTCTGACATACGATAATGCAGCGACATATTTAATGTTTTTTTTTTATTATTATTATTATTATTGTCAAAAATATCAAATATTTCATTGATTGATTGATATGATTTACAATTGTTATTTTGTCATCCCTTCTATGCAATTCCATGTTCTTAGATCAGTGTTCTTAGACCACTGTGCCGCGGCACTTTTGTGTGCCGCCAAATTTTAAAAGTGTGCCGCCATATTTTGCAAATATTTAAAATTTTTGTCATAAACTATTTATGCAGTGTGTGTGTTGTAGTAAGTGAATAATTTTTATCTTTTTCCTTGTGTGCCGCCAAATTTTGAAATCGTTAAATATGTGCCGCAACAAAAAGAGGTTGAGAATCACTGTCTTAGATCAAAATACACTTCATCCGCCATCTTGTCGTGGCGGCCATTTTGAGAATAATACAATACTGAATATTGTGTTCTAGATGGAGAACACGCAATTCGGTCACGCGGACATTGTCGCGGATAAAAACTAGTTGGAGCAGTGACAGAATTGAATACCAATGTCAAATGAGCCAAATAATTTAAGACTGCATTTGATCAACTGCGCAAAAAGAGGTTATGTGTTTTGATATGAGAAATGTATTAATTAAAAAGTTTCGTTCGCTACCAAAGTTTGTTTAAATCGGGCATTTATTAATTATTAAGTTATGTTAATATGTTTTTAACTTTAATTACTTAATAAATATTGGAAATAAAATTATATATAAAAAGGGACGTCTAGTAAAGCTTAACTGTTAAGGGGAGGTTGTCATGAGGATACTATGGGTGTCACAGTATACTCTGTTATGTCCACGGTACTGCTCACGTGTATAAGCGACGGTTACCAGTTTCTAGCAGGTGGGCCGTCAGCTTGTTTGATTTTTTATATTACCATATGTTAATATTAAATAATAAACTTTATAAATAAAATAAATAAATAAATAAACAGTAATAGAAAGTGGTAACCGTCGCCTATAGACATGGACAGTACCGTGGACATAACAGAGTATACTGTGTCGCCCATGATACCCCCCATGCGTTGCCATCCCCGAGAACTATGGTGTTATGCGTCCGTACAAACTTTTTATATAGTGTTTTATTTAAAATATTTATTAAAATATATATATTTAAATTTGTGTTAGATTCGATGTTAGGGATACTCCCATAGGCTTCAACACCATGACGTTATGGTTTCAAGTAATAAATTAATTAATTCAAATTGTGTAAACTGTACTAGGGTGAAATCGACAACACCCTTTTTAAAGACATTTCTAAGAATTTCCTCCGAAGTACACTAACGGATTCGACATCACCCGCTGTACAGTATTTATATAAATGTTATATTAAAATATGTTTTCTCAAACATGCTTGGAAATGTGAGCATTATTTTGACAATCTTCTTCGAGATAAATCAAAATTGCCGTACTGGCCAGATACATGCGGACAGCGGCCGGCAAAAGTTGTATGAAAATCCATATCTGTCGTGTTTTGCGGCCAGATAAATTACCATGTTAACTCATATGTGTCCTGTAATTTAAAAATGGAATGACCTTTTACTTCGAAACATGGCTACCAAGGAGGTAACTAATAAAAGGTTTTATTTAAATTTCGAACTGGCTTGCAAATACAAAGCTGTTTATTGAAAAAAAAACAAAGGAACATTATGGCGCGTGAAAAATTATTATTGTTCGTTATTCCTCATTGAACTTAAAAAGTAAAATTGTATTTTTGATTTCCGCGCATTGTTTGGGAAAAGTACTATACAAGCCTTGGCCACAACTAGGCATTGACGGACTCACGTATGTGTGCCTCGGCTACGCCTCGGTCCATATTTGCAAGTTCGTCCATCAATGCTTCAGTTGCTGGCCGCTGCAGTAATGTACTATTTATTATATTATTATGTATCTCATTGTTTTTTTTTTAAGTTCCTTATTTCTATAGTTTTCGAATAGAATTAAAATTTAAAAACTTGTGCTACTTGTCTCTGCCCTGTCTATGCAAGTTATAAATGAATTTACACTAACTATGATGATAATATATAGCAGGATCTATATATTGTAATTATTGGTATCTATGTATTGGTCTAATAACGTAATTTAATGTCTTTTACTCAGTATTTAATGTCGAAATAAAGCATCCAATCGAAGTGTATATGCATATCCGACCGGTATGGGCGATATTGGAATGGGTAAAGACTTTTCTCTTATCAATATTCAATGGAAACCGATATATAGATATTGTAGCGGTACTGATATTACCCATGAGCAGTTTCTTCTGGGTACAGAGGAATAACACCTTAGTGCTCAGGAATGGCAACGCATGGGGGGTATCATGGGCGAAACAGTATACTCTGTTATGTGTATGGTACTGCTCATGTCTGTAGGCGACGGTTACCACTTTCCATCAGGTGGGCCGTCAGCTTGTTTGCCATTCTAAGTTGTATAAAAAAAATGTTTGTAATACAATTCTAATGATTATATTTTTATTTAAACATCTAAACTAAGAATGGGTAATATAATATAGCAATATATATATATATATATATATATATATATATATATATATATATATAACAGATATATTAGATTACGGTTATCCAATATGTAATGTCGTAAAGAAGAGCCCGCTTGTATTGAATATAGATGTTCGACTGGTATGGGCGATATCGCAATGTACAGAGGAACCCAATATATAGATATCAGATATTATCCATTTCTAATGCAAACACGTTTAAATAAAAATATTAATAATTATTTAAAAAATGGTCTTGAGTTAATATTGTCAAATTTTAATAAGTTTGCTTTTATATAAAAAAAAAATGAATTTATAAAAAGTATGAACATGTCGAATGTTACGTTCACCACAACAGCTACAGTCGACAGATGGCTCTGGCTACCCCATCAGGGATTATAGTCGTGAGAGTTTGTTTTTTATATTGCTTTTATATTAAAAAAAAAAAATTATAAAAAGTATGAACATGTCGAATGTTACGTTCACCACAACAGTTACAGTCGACAGATGGCTCTGGCTACCCCGTCAGGGATTATAGTCGTGAGAGTTTGTTTTTTATATTGCTTTTATATTAAAAAAAATGAATTTATAAAAAGTATGGACATGTCGAATGTTACGTTCACCACAACAGTTACAGTCGACAGATGGCTCTGGCTACCCCGTCAGGGATTATAGTCGTGAGAGTTTGTTTTTTTATTTTTTACTCGAATCTCTGTTTCATCTCTACTACATTTTTCTAGTTACTGTCTGTGCCACAATGTGTATTTAGCTTTAGTTTGAATTAATTTAAGTTAGTAAACAAATAATTGTATACATATAAGGTATTTTAATTGAATATAAATTAAATAAAACATAATAAAGCAAAAGAAAATCATATTGTAATTAAAATATCAAAATACAATTATATAGAAATAAATGAAAATAAATAATTTATTTTATTTTATTTATTAAAATTAATACTTCACACACCAAAGTTTTGCATGATCTAAATGGAATGCTAACCTCGCTTCTTCTATTAGAGAGGTGATGAAATCGGGTCAGATGGTCCTTCGTGGCGGATTCATCAAGACTTACCAGGAGGGAGGTGTTTCTAAGTAGCAATTATTCATTTCTGGTCCTTCGTGACGGATACATCAAGATTTACTAGGATGGAGGTGTTCCCAAGTAGCAATTATTCATTTTTGGTCCTTCGTGACGGATACATCAAGATTTACTAGGATGGAGGTGTTCCCAAGTAGCAATTATTCATTTTTGGTCCTTCGTGACGGATACATCAAGATTTACTAGGATGGAGGTGTTCCCAAGTAGCAATTATTCATTTTTGGTCCTTCGTGACGGATACATCAAGATTTACTAGGATGGAGGTGTTTCCAAGTAGCAATTATTCATTTTTGGTCCTTCGTGACGGATACATCAAGATTTACTAGGATGGAGGTGTTCCCAAGTAGCAATTATTCATTTTTGGTCCTTCGTGACGGATACATCAAGATTTACTAGGATGGAGGTGTTTCCAAGTAGCAATTATTCATTTTTGGTCCTTCGTGACGGATGCATCAAGATTTACTAGAATGGAGGTGTTCCCAAGTAGCAATTATTCGTCATTCGTGGTCCTTCGTGACGGATATATCAAGACTTAGTAAGAGGGAGGTCTTCCCAGATTTTTTTTATGCAACTTACAATGGCAAACAAGCTGACGGTCCACCTGGTGGACATTGGTAACCGTCGCCTATAGACATGAGCAGTATCATGGACATAACAGAGTATACTGTTTCGCCCATGATACCCCCCATGCGTTGCCATTCCTGAGGACTCGGGTGTTATTCCTATGTACCCTGTAAATTCACTGCCATATCCCACCCTTCAAACCGAAACACACTCATACAAATGCAAAAACTGCTTCATGGTAGAAACACGAATGGGACAGAGGTGCCCAAGCGAATGACTTGTACAAAGCCTTCCTCTGGTGAAGGTAACAATTACTGGTCAATTTGACGTCGATTTTTAGTTACCAAACCCAAATATTATTTAAAACTGACAACTATGAGTCGCAAATGTCACCTTGCTTGTGTTTCCACGTCTAGATCGACCTGGTGGGAGGTTTATTGTTAACAATGGGATTGTTAAGCCCCATTGGTAGTAAAGTGGTGGACGGAGTCACCAGTAAAATGGTGATATTTTTTTTTAAAGGTTAAAAAGTATTGGTAATCCCGCCTGCGCTAACGGGATACGCTGGCGGAGCACCAGCGAAGGGTGATAGATGAGAATGAAAACAGGCCAGTTAGCCCATCATGATGAATTCATCAGGAATTAACCATGATAGTTTCCAGGGGGAACCGCGAGGAGGTCGAGCTGGTTGGGTATATTGCTAGCAATGGGAGTTTTAGTCTCCATTACTAACAATCCCTTTCCTCCCAAGTGGTGGTATTTGTAGATTTAATAAAGTCACTTTAATAATGTAAATGTTTATTAATACAGTAATCACTAAAAAGTATAAACACAAGTATAGAAGGAGAACAACAGTAATGAGCGGAAATATTGAAATAAAATAGAAAAAGGTATAAAGTATTAAGACGACATGTATATGCCGTGGCGCCAACAACAACATTCTTTTCATATACGCATGCGCGGCCTGCGCGCGCAACCCGTAGTCGCCGAGCGCCTGCGCGTCCTGCGCGCGCATAGGTACATCAAACAAGCTGCGTTCGCGACCGACCGTATTACATATATATATATAAAATATTAACGCTTGTCTGCGTGTTTTTACAAAATTATTGATATAATAATAAATTAATAAAATAATTATTTATTTATTTACACTTTATTGCACAATTTATAAAATAGTAAGTACATTTAACTGTAATAAGAAATGATACAAAAGGCGTCCTTATCGCTGAGCAATCTCTTCCAGACAACCTTTGGGTGGAGGACATTGAGAAAAGAAAGAAAAACAAAAGGTAGGTGGCGGCACATTGTACAGAGTGACGTGACGTTACCAGACTTTAGTGTAGGAAGCAAACGGTGTACAATAAAGGACCATAGTTTCATATAAATATAAAATAAATAGGAATATTTATTACGTAGTATTTCATATGAAATCCATCAGCTGAGTAAATGAAGAGTTGGCGAACGACTCCGCCTAATTTACATACAGCAGTATTACATATATGGATCCAGTACATTTATTTTGAGTATATGTGTTTAAACTAGTAATTGTCTTTACTAAGTCTAACATTCTCAATACAGGGGGGAAAGGGATTGTTAGTAACGGAGACTGAGAATCCCATTGCTAGCAATATACTCAACCAGGTCACCTCCTCGCGGTTCCCCCTGGAAACTATCATGGTTAATTCCTGATGAATTCATCATGATGGGCTGACTGGCCTGTTTTCATTCTCATCTATCACCCTTCACTGGTGCTCCGCCGGCGTATCCCGTTGGCGCGGGTGGGGTTTCTATACCATTTTCACCCATAAAAAAAAACATTCCCCATACAATGTTTTATTAACCAATCGTCTATTTAAGATTAGCTGTATACCGCGGCGTAGTCCGAAATCAGTACGTAATCCTACGTGCTAAGTTAAAAAATAACCTATCCATATAACAAATTTTATTCAAATCCATCCAGTAGTTTTTGCCTTAACACGTTCACGCCGGCGCGGGCCACCGGTGGCCCGCGCTAGACTGTCTCATTGGACGGCGCGTACCACCGGCGGTACGCAATAGACTGTCTTATCTGGCAGCGCGTACCACTGGTGGCCCGCATTAGACTGTCTTATCTGGCGGCGCGTACCACCGGTGGCCCGCACTAGACTGTATTATCTGGCGGCGCGTACCACCGGTGGCCCGCACAAGACTGTCTTATCTGGCGGCGCGTACCACCGGTGGCCCGCACTAGACTGTTTTATCTGGCGGCGCGTACCACCGGTGGCCCGCACAAGACTGTCTTATCTGGCGGCGCGTACCATCGGTGGCCCGCACTAGACTGTCTTATCTGGCGGCGCGTACCATCGGTGGCCCGCACTAGACTGTCTTTTCTGGTGGCGCGTACCACCGGTGGTACATATTCGATCATGAAGCGTAGCATCAATTAGAGCGTCGCCTCGCAGCAAAAACATTAAAGTCGGCCCCGGCGTGAACGTGTTAAAGAGTAAAAAATATCTATCGATCCATTATTACAAACTTTTGCGTTCTCTGTCACATACATATCTATTACGCCTGTCTCCCATTAGTGTAGGCAGAGACAATGTAACGCGAAATGCTTCGATTCAAACAGGCCTTGTTCGCTTCCCCCACATTCATCAATCTTTTCATACACGCTCGCCGGTTACGGGTACTTTTAATTTGGCCCTTCTTCAGCGCGTCGCCTATTTGGTCGACAGACGTCCGTAGAGCGGCT